TCATTGAGATACAAAATTTAAAAAAAATGTTTTTATTGATTTCAGAGCAAGGAAAGGGAGGGATAGAAACAATGATGGGAACCATTGATTGGCTGCCTCCTGTATGCTCCCTCCTGGGGAATCAAGCCCTCAACTTGGGCATGTGCCCTGACAGGGAATTGAACCTGGACCTCCTGGTTCATGGGTGGATCCTTAAACACTGAGCCACACTAGGCTGACTACAAAGTGTTTTTTAAAATACTAATAAAATGAATATAAGCCAAAACCGATTTGGCTCAGTGGATAGAGCGTCAGCTTGTGGACTGAACAGTCGGTCCCAGGTTCGATTTTGGTCAAGGGCATGTACATTGGTTTTGGGCACATCCCCGGTAGGGGGTGTGCAGGAGCAGCTGGTTGATGTTTCTCATCGATGTCTCCAGCTCTCTATCCCTCTCCCTTTCTTTCTGTAAAAAGTCAATAAAATAAAATAAAAAAAGAATATAAGCTCTAGCCAGTTTGGCTCAGTGGATAGAGCGTCGGCCTGTGAACTGAAGAGTCCAGGGTTCGATTCTGGTCAGGGGCACATGCCCAGATTGTGGGCTCGATTCCTAGGAGGGGTCGTGCAGGAGGAAGCCAAAATCAATGATGTTTCTCTCTCTTCCTCTCCCTTACTTTCTGAAATCAATACAAATTTCTTTTAAAACAAGAACTACAATACATTAACAAAGCAGTATAGTATTAATTTCTATTATTTAGTTTTGTATGTGAATATATAGTTTTGAATAGTGCCTGTATTCTAAAATATTTTGTGGAAAATACTAAAATGAACAGCAATGTCAGCAACCAAATGGAGATATGTTACAGAATTTTTAAAATACTTTTTGATAGAGATCATTGATTACATTAAAGTTTTAGTTTTGAACTGTGTAAAATAAATCAGAGAATAAGTTCTTATATAATCAAAACTAAAACATAGCAAAAATGTTGACAATATTTTTGCTTGAAATACTTAGTATTTTAAAATATTATTTGAAGGTTAAGGCAGAATCTTATTCTGAAAATTAAAGGATCAGTTAGGATACATTTCTTTTTTTATCTTTTAATAGAGATAAAGAAATATTGTGAGGGTAGCAGTTACTTTTAGCTTTGCTTTATTTTCAAATAAAAAATTAGGTGAATTAATGGATTCATACGCCTTTATAGATAGAAAAGGGCTAAAGGAGTTCTACCGTAACACAAATTCAGTTATTTTATGATATTGTTAGCTAAGGTATACATAATTAATAAATATCAACTTAATTTTAGAAAATCATGGGTGGATCATATACCACCTATCCTATCTAATAAAAGGGTAATATTCAAATTAACCATCACTCTGTCACAAAGATGGTGGCGCCCAGTCCTCTCAGCCCTGCCTGAGTCCCCCTGTCCTGGGAGGATGGGGGTGGCCACTGAGAGTGAGCAGGGTGAGTGGCCTGGCAGACTGCTTGCTGCATCGACACGGCAATGAGGCAAGCATTCTGCGCCTGGCCACAGATGGACCTCTGGGCTCGGAGAGCCCCTGGGTAGCAGGCACAGAGCAGCCAGGCCCCGCAGAGAGCTACTGGTGCACGGATTTGTGCATTTGTGCGCAGGGCTACTAGTACCTAATAACTTTGTTTAAGACTCTATATGATACATGTTGTATGAGAAATCTTTAACATGATGATGCTTTTGTAGAACACAATACCTGTTTTCAAATATTAAAAAAATAGACCAAACCCCAAAACATTCTGATTTTGTTGTTTAAAAAATTGATTTCATTTTAATGATCTAAGTTAGTAACAAACAAATATACAAAATTGTCTTTTCACATTTCCATACATTGTATTATGGACCACTTAAAACTCTGGATTGCAAATGCAGGTTTCTTTGTATCCTTAACTTCAGTTATTGCCACTTATAAAAAAAGGTGACTTCAAAAACATGCATTTGAGAACAAAGATGCTAAAAGTTGCACATGGAAGTTAATGTACTACCAGTAGTGTACATTGTTCATTTGTGCAGTTTATGTGTCGAATGCAACTGACGCAGACGCAGTTATCCTGGGATAGTTCACTCTACTTAAAAAGCATTTTTGAGCAACAGATGAAACTACAGTTTAAAACAAAAACTGTATGCTTCAAATACAATAAAATTAACGACTTGTACAGCTGAAGAAACTTTTGGGATCCAAAGCTGACTTAATAACCCTGCTGTACATTGGAATATCTCAAAGTCATAGATTGAAAATAAGTATGTATAGTAAAAGGAAAGTGAGACTAAAAAACGTGAAGAACGCTTTGAAAATAGTAATAATGTATGAGTCATTTATAATTTTTATTTTTAAATTTCAGAAATTTGAAGGTGATCTAAACATTTTCTAAGCCATTCAAAATTTTAGGATATTTCCATCATACTGTTTTCTAGGCCACTTCCCCAACCACTAATCTGCACTATAAATAAATACCAACATATGATTTTTTTATATTAAATTGTTTCCAGATATCTGTAGGTAAAAAAATCAAGTCTTTCTTAAACATGTTTTCCTAGGTTGTGGCAACATGTGCTTTACCCTCTTTAGCTCAATCTACAACCTAAAGTTATTTCTCTATTATAAATCTTAAACTCCCTGGCAGGGAATGTGAATCCTACCCAGCTAGATCTTTATTCAGCTTCTTAAAGGACTATATCCCATAATAATTGGCCAACTTTCCCCTAAGGCCCAAGTTTGATGTAATCTCATGTAATATGGATTACAAGAGGAAAAAAATGGTACAAAACAATGGGATTTCCTCCAGGCAGTATTATAGACTTGGCCTCTGAAATTATTGAAAACATTTGTTTTACTAAAATGAATACAACTGCAAACAGTTTGAGGATAACTGCAGTTGAAAAGAAAATGGGTGATTTTCTATAGGAAACATCTGCTTTCCACGGGCCTTATGAAGAAAATGTGGCTAGTGATTTCAAACATGTATTTCAAGTTACCTAAATGCAACACAGCTTCTAAAAATATGTAAATCATCAGTGATTCAGGCAAGAAAGCTGGGGGAGTAAAGATGTATAGTTAAACACTACATTAGGAGATGTAGTTACCTACTCTATACTTTGAAATGAAAGAAACCAATTCTGTCCAGAGTCAGTATCAGAAAGATATGGCTGCTTCTTACTTTTCTGTGTAACAAAATGAATTTTATGATGCTTTCACTTGCGAACTATCAAAATAAATCTAGGTTATTTTTATTTTTAAAATAAGCTGCCTAAACCGGTGTTGTTTTTATAAAACTTTCAGAAATGAAACATTTAACCCTTGAGAGAAACTTTGATATTGAGTATCTTGTCTAATGGCAGGAACAAAGATTGTTAAGTATTATTGCTTTAAAGATAACCATCAGAAATAAATATGTAAGGTTAACTCAAATACTCATTTTTCACTCAATGCTACAATGTTTTATTCTCAAATCAAGTCACATGTTACCTTCAATTCTTTGCCAGTTGACTTAGGTTTTTAATAAGAAGTTAGCCTGTTAACTCAAAATGAAGACGATAGCAATAGCTACATATGCACGTCTTATTTAGGCATTGAGCAATAACACTGCTTTCTTGATAGGATTTAAGGCACTACATGGTGGTAAAATAAACAAAAGTCTGATGATTAACAACTTCTTTAGAATCCTATAAAAGGAGAGCATTTAGAAGGACACTATTAAATCTTTTTCTCAAACAAATAAGGCATCCTGTTGGCAAACACAAAAAATACAAGGTCATGTTGAACCTAATACATTCACCGTCTCTCAGCTAAAGTACTTGACAAATTAACTAGCTACATAGCATGTATAAAGGTGGGAAAGGCACCAAAAGGAGAGCTCTACCACTTCCGGTTCTAAGAGTTGGGTAAGCTGTGTTTAACACTGCATGACGTAGTCTAATTATAAATTTTATTCTGTAAATGTATAATGTGGTTAATTTTTGTTTCAACAAATCAGTTAATCAAATGCTAGTTTAGTAAGAAATTTATTTTCATGAATCAGAAAATTACAGCAGTGTCTAACACAACCCCACTATAAAGCTAAACTATTTCTAGCACTGAATGCATATTCTGGAAAACACTGAAGCAAATCTGTATAAACAAAAAAGGTTACCTCAAGATAGAATTCACAATTGAAATTCAATATATAACTAAATAAGATTTACTGAAAATGTAAAGTGTAGTACAGATACATCAAAAAATTATAATCATAACATTTTCCTTGTGAAAAATACAATTATTAGTGAAAAAAAAATGTACAATTGAATTTTTTTCCAAAGGAAACAAACAGTATAAAAGAAAATACTTTTCTTCAAGATAAGGAAAATAGTATGTCATTGTTTTTTTTTTCATCATAATATATTTTGACACAAAAAGCAGTTATAGAATTGCACCAATTCCACATCCAGTTTCCTGAACATGTTAAGAGTAAAAGGAGTTTGTAAAGCAGAATGCAGTTTCTGAATTTTATATTTTAAATTGATATTCTCATACAGAATGTCATAGCACACCAGATCTGTTTACACATGTATAATACTTTCTGTTTTGTGGCCAGACATGAATACAAACATATGATTTCTGCCACCTTTCTTTCATTCTGGTGTTTAGTCAGAGTCAGAAAAAAAAAATAAGCTACTTAAGTGTTATCTAACAATAAAGAAAAATTATATTTAGTGCATGCTTCATCATTTGTCAAAAAACATTTCTGAAAATAAAACTCAGTTCCCAAACGGGTTATAAAATAGAAAAATCATTGATTAGGATAAAAAAAGTGGTGGGATGTAGGACTGACTTTCTTAGCAGCACCACTGTCCTTCAGCAGAGGTCAGGATGCAAGCAAGTTCTATGGCCAGAGCAGGTGTGCCTGCAGGAGACCACTGCTTGACATTTGATTAGCCAAGGCTCCAGATCTTTGATCATTCCCTCCACCATTTCATTAGTGCTACAAAATAGACGAAAATTTCTGGAAATGTTAGGAGCATTTCTGCTGTACATGATTTAGAAGTTCTCCAAATTTTTCAAATAGGTCTTCTACCCATTTTACATTTTTCATACAAAGTTGAACAATTTCTTCCTGTCCTAAATCTCCATTTTTCTTCTGCACAGAAGAGATCTAAAATAAAGAGAATTGCCACATTAGCTTATACTTATCTATATATATAAAAAGCCAGCGACCGGACCGCCAAAACGACTGGAAGGACCAGTCGCTATGACACCCACTGCGGCCAGCTAACTGGCCCCAACAGGGGATGGGGACAGCCATCCAATCTTTTGCAGCCCCTCCCCCAGCCGGCCCCACTCCTGATCAGCCTCTCCCCATGGCTGGCCCCACCCCTGATGAGCCCCCACCACCCTGATCAGCCTTCAGCCCCTTCCACCAGCCAGCCTCACACTGTCCCCAATCATCCCCCTACACCAATCAGGGATGGAGTTAGCTGGCCAACCTCCCATGACCACTTCCCCGGCCACTGACCCCCCATCAGCCCTTCCATCCCAACTGGGGGCAGGGCCTGCGGGCCAATTGACCATAGCTGCTCCCCGCAGGCAGTCTGTCCCTGATCAGACCCCAATTGGGGCAGGACAGCCAGCCAACCTCCCGCTGTCTCCTCCTCCCAACAGGCCCAGCCCCGATCCGCCCCAATTGGGGCCAGGCCAAACGAATTTGTGCACTGGGCCTCTAGTCACTTTATAAGATCATCATTTGGACTTACTATTTCTATATCCTGAAAAGAGGATTTATTAATTCACCTATAAGTACTGATCTTTTTTTTTTTTTTAAATCCTTCCACGAAGATTAATTATTTCATTTCATATTTCATTTTTGGCTCCACGGGAATAAGGAAGAAGGCCAGGAAAAGTGTTTCAAACTTTCTAAATTCCTTTAAATTGTGTTAAAAGCAGAATGATAAAATTTGAGGTCAATTTTTCCTTTAAGATACTGTAAAAATAGTCAACATATTTTTCATGACCACCTTTACTTTCTCCTTTGATAAACAGAGGTTAGATTTAGAACATATTTCAAAACCAGACCATTGTGAAATACATTACATGTAACTGTAAGTAAACTTAACCCTTTCTAATTAAAAAACAAAAACAAAAAAACACCTGAAAGGACCATTTACCTTTCAAACCTGTGGGAATTAATCCTTATATCCCATCCACAAAGTGGTACTATTGTCATATATAATTTCTAAGCAACTTAAATTATGATACTCAAAAGCTATAATTAAATTTTAACTATCATTTCTTCATGCTAAGGAACAAAACTCCATTTCTCTATAATTGAAAAGGATAGAGCCATTCTAGTGATAAGGAAAACAGTGAGATATCATATGTAATTGAAGTATATTAAAACAGGATCATTTTACATTATGAGAGAAGAAAATATAATAAAGTACCATTTATTATGGCAATGTAAATCAAGCATCCACAACCTAAAACATTACCATTTATAGCTCCTTTGAGAAGCCATGAGTCTCAGATTAATCTGAGCACAACACATAACAGGGAGGCTAGGAGCAATCTTCTAGTCATTATTTACAGAATATAGAGACATACATTTTTAAACAATTCTCTTTAACACATTAAAAATACTATAGCTACAGTCTCCTTAAGCTTAGAAAAACATAATTTCTTTTTTAAATAAATGAAAAAATAATTACCTCATTTTTACATATCAGATAAACATGATATTTATAATGATGGAGTGAATGATACAAAGAATATAGCTGTATTTTCTCTGGATCAACAGCAAACTCCTGTAACAAGAAAACAGTTTAGAGTTATATTTATTTCATGGAGCATCTGAGCTTAGAATACTTTTACAAAAATATTAGACCAAAAGTTTCAAAGGAAATATTAAAAGTGACTTGTATGGCTAAGTATTAGCTCATATTAATAAGCTGTTATTATTAAGAGGCTTATTAAAAATAACAATTTAAATTGTATTTTTAAACCTTCACTTTTTCCCTGAACATAAATATACACTATTTCAGAAAAGTTTAAAACGTAAACATATAAGATGATTTATAAAGTAAAAGAATCGTATAAAAAAAAATTCTTGATTCAGAGATAAACAAGGTTAACAAAATGTTATATATTTCCCATGTTTTCCTCCATGTATAACATATATTTCTATAACTTCTTTTTTAGCCTAGCTAAAACATGGATATCTAATATAATTGTCATATATAATTTCCAATATAAATTAATTGGGGGCAGGAAATTTGACCCTTTTTCATTGTTGTATTCTCAATACTTAGAACTGTATTTGGCACACTACAAGCACCTAAATGATCAATTTTAACAGTTGCAGATATGTGGTCAACATTGAATATTATTAAAGGTGTGCACACTCATTTATCTGTAAATCATACATTTGTATCCAAAACAAAAAAACAACTATAAAATATACATACAAGCGTGGTATGTTTCCTTGCTTACTATTATAGTCTATTTGAAAATTTTTTGAGCACTTATGATATGCCAGATACTGTGCTATGTAATGGGAGAAACAAAGAATAAGACTGAATCCCTGCTGTTTAGGCCAGAGGGGCTCATTCCTACCTGAAAATAATTCAAATTTAACAACAATATAGTAAAATATTTGCTTGCCTCAATGTTTTAATTAGAATTATAATAACAACTGGAAGAGGTATAACATCAATCAATATACACTTACTTGTGCAGATTTAACGGTTGTTTTAGAAGTCCTTAGAGTTTTCTTATTATAAGCTTTGCCATTCATTTTGATTTTAGAAACAGCAGATCCCCCACTTTTTGCTTTAGAGTCTCGAGTAATTATTGTTAGTTCAGGAAAACGTTCCAAAGCATTCTTTAAAATAAAGCAAAAATAGTTGACATCAGAAGAAAACTAATTTACACTACTTATAGCTACTCAAATTTACTTAAAAAATATAGAAACATTTACATACATGTACATATACACACACATCTATATGTGGGAACACTGGGTGTGGTATATGTAATATTCAAATACACACATACATGGAGTGTTAAACGGTCAAATTCTTTGCAGCTCCTCCCATCCAGATGGGATCTTAACTTGCCCTAGCTGGTTTGATTAGTGCCATGGTTGGCAAACTGAAGGTCGCGAGCCACATGTGGGTCTCTGGCCCCTTGAGTGTGGCTCTTCCACAAAATACCACAGCCTGGGCGAGTCTATTTTGAAGAAGTGGTGTTGGAAGTTTAAGTTTAAAAAATGTGGCTCTCAAAAGAAATTTCAATCATTGTACTGTTATTTGGCTCTGTTGACTAATGAGTTTGCCGACCACCGGCTTAGTGGATAGAGCATCAGCCTGTGGACTGAGGGGTCCCGAGATCTATTCCGGTCAAGGGCACATGCCGGGTTTGTGGGCTCAATCCCCAATGGGGAGATGTGCAGGAAGCAGCTGATCAATAGTTCTCTCTCATCATTGATGTTTCTATCTCTTTCTCCCTCTCCCTTCCTCTCTGAAATCAATAAAAATATATATTTTTTAAAGATGGGAATCTTTACTATATTTATTGAGATCATTTTGCAGTATAGACAAATATTGAATCACTGCTATACACATGAACTTAATATAATGTTGTATGAAATTATACCCCAATGAAAAAAATGTAGATTCTATTTCCCCATCCTTTGAATCTGGGTCAGCCTTATGACATGCTTTTAAGCAACAGTCCATGACACTGTGGGAACTCCTGAATGAGGCAGAAAGTTCTTTGCAATGCTTTCTGGCTTCAATGTAGGGGAAAGAGGGATATACAAATGCTTTTAATTTATAATGGGGATATCTTCTGATAAACCCATGCTAAGTTGAAAATACTGTAAGTTGAAAATGCATTTACCACTACACTACAGAGAGAGCATTGTTGTTTAACCTTGTGATCACAAGACTTAAGTGCAATTTGTGGGTCCCTGCTGCTGCCCGGCATTACAAGAGAGAATCATATCACATATTGTAGCCCAAGAAGAAGTCAAAGTTCAAAACTCGAAGTATAGCTTCTACTGAATTCATACATATTTTTACACCATATAAAGTAAAAAAAAATTAAGTTATAAGTTTCTACAAAGCTCTTCCAATTGAACCACTGTTAACACTCTGAAACTTGGTCAAGTCCTGGATCATGGCGAGAAACAAGTGTTGTAATATTCCTCTGGCTTCACCATTTCTCTTGCTTCTTTTGACTATAGGAAACGCAGTTGTGAAATAAGAGTGTAAAACAGAGTTTGATGAGTTTTATGACCACAATGATATAATAGTTATCACCGATAATTTAGTGGCCAGATGGCAGAACCAATTTTAGTCCATTATTTAAGTCACTGGCATATTTATGCCCTTACCTACTTGGCAAATCATCCTGACATGAAAAGCTATAAATAATTGAAGCCTGGCTGCAGTGGGCTCAGTGGTTGAGCATAGACCTATGAATCAGGAGGCCAGGGTTCGATTCCCAGTGTGGGGCGTGCAGTAGACAGCCGATCAATGATTCTCTCTCTTCATTGATGTTTCTAGTTCTCTTTCCCTTCCTCTCTGAAATCAATAAAAATATATTTAAACAATAATTAAATATTTATAGCTAAATTTAACTAGTTTGAATAGTTTTTAAAAATTGAACTACTAGCCGAGACCGGTTTGGTTCAGTGGATAGAGCCTCGGCCTTTGGACTGAAAGGTCCTGGGTTCGATTCCGGTCAAGGGCATGTACCTTGGTTGCGGGCACATCCCCGGTAGGGGGTGTGCGAGAGGCAGCTGATCGATGATTCTCTCTCATCGATGTTTCTGACCCTCTATCCCTCTCTCTTCCTGTGAAAAATCAATAAAATATATTTTTTAAAAATTGAACTACTAGTATTGTTTCATATTTTGATACTAAAAGGGTTCAAGTGTTCACATTATCTTTATTTCCCCCATTATATTTATTTTACAAACTAGAGGGCTGGTGCAAATTCATACTTGAGTAGGGTCCCTCGGCCTAGCCAGTGATCAGGGCCAGCTGGCCAGGGGGAGGTACTGTGGGAGGTTGGCCAGCTGCAGATTGGCTGTGGAGCACACTGCCCATCAGGGAGCAGCTCCTGCATTGAGCATCTGCCCTCTGGTGGTCAGTGCGCATCATAGTATTGGTTGTTGGGTTGTTCCGCCTTACTGGTCACTTAGGCTTTTCTATATATAGATTGTACTTCTCATTTGCTAAACCCAACTGTTTTATAAACAGTCACAACCTTCAAGGCAACTCTTTAAACCCCATGTGAATTCCCAAATAGCTGGTATTGTGACCCCAACAACGCATTTTTAAACAGAGAACCTAATGTTTTTATATATAAATTTAGGAGGGAACTAAGTTTCATTTAATAGACACAATAGAATTTTTACTATTTCCTACCAGAGTGAGCTATCACTAATTTCTAGCTTCATTTTCTTAGATTATTTCTGCTATTATATACTTTGGTGTTTTCCTTATAAAATATGCCCAGGATTGAATTACTCTTCATAACAAATGGAATTTAAAGACCAAAAATAAAAATAAAAGTAAAAATAAATGGATTTTACATTTGGGAACAATGACTAGGTCAGTGTGGAGATGAAAGGAGAAAACTGAAGTGCTCTTTCTAATAAGCACAAGATACTAAAGATGACTGGAAGTAAATAGGATTCAGAGGAAAATAGACCATTAACTTCAAAAGCCTTTAGGATTCCTAAAATTACCAGGATCATTATGGGAAGTAGTGTTAATTATGTCTAAAGAACAGAAAATATTTTATAATCTACGGTTTGTAATATTTTATATCATTCTAAATTTTAGTACTGTTTGTGTATTGTAGTTTAGGAATGCAAATGGCTATAAATGAAAATTATCAAAATTAACTAATTTCAAAATTGAAATTTTTTTCTGTGAAAATAAGAATATCAAAACTAATTTTTCATTTGTTTATCATAAACTATTACATAAGCTTTAAATATCTACTAAATCTATTAAATTTCAAGTGGTAGATTTATTTTAATGCAAGTTATTAGAAAACTGGTTTGATATTTAAAACATGGTTAGCCAAAACTGATTCACTATTTAAAAAAACAACATTTTATTGATTTTTTTACAGAGAGGAAGAGAGAGGGATAGAGTTAGAAACATCAATGAGAGAGAATCATTGATCAGTTGCCTCTTGCACTCCCCCTACTGGGAATGTGCCCGCAACCAAGGTACATGCCCTTGACCAGAATTGAACCTGGGACTCTTCAGTCCACAGGCTGACGCTCTATCCACTGAGCTAAACCTGATTCGGCTGATTCACTATTAAGATTTAATAAATCTTTATAAAACATACACCTATGAATATTCTCTTGTCTCTGAAAACATGGTATTTACCAAAGAATATTTCATTTGAAGAACAGTTAAGTAGAAAATACTTGACTAGGAGTCAGTAGACCAAATTCTTAGTAATAAGCTTCTTACCAGCTTCTGACATTTTTCCCTACAAGTACGTCAGTGAAGAATATAGGACTGCTGGTAGAGTTTAATGTCAATAAACTTTTTAAAAAATATATATCTTATTGATTATTTTTTTTCAGAGAGGAAGGGAGAGAGATAGAGAGCTAGAAACATCGACCAGCTGCCTCCTGCACACTACCCACTGGGGATGTGCCCACAACCAAGGTTCATGCCCTTGACTGGAATAGAACCTGGGACCTTTCAGTCCAACTCAGTGTCAAAGCCTTAATTTTCACATAGCTAAAATAAAATCAATTTTCACTTTTATGTGGAGATCAGATAAAACAGTGATGTGAAAAACTATACAAATTACCCAAAGAAATTGAAAATTTAAGTCCACACAAAAATCTGCACATGGATATATTTAGTAGCTTTATTGATAATTGCCAGAATTAGGAAGCAACAAATATATCATTCAGGAGGTGAACAAACTGGTATATTCAGACAATGGATTATTCAGTGCTAAAAAGAAATGAACTATTAAGTTATGAAAAGACATGGGAATACCTTACATGCATATTACTAAGTGAAAGAAGCCAAACTTAAAAGACTATGTACTATATGGCTTCAACAGTATGACATTCTGGAAAAGGTAAAAAAAGATAGTAAAAGCATCAGTGGTTGCCAAATGGGGTGTAGAGATAACTTGACAGAACACAGAGGATTTTTAAGGCAGTGAAACTACTCTACATGAAACTATAATAGTGGATACACATCTAACCCCATAAAATGTGCAACATCATAATGTCAACTATGGAGTTTGAGTTATAATGGTACGTCAAGGTAAGTTCATTAATAATAAGAAATGTATAATTCTGGTAGGAGATATTAATAACTGAGGATGTTGTTTATATGTGCGTGGTGGAGGCATATGGAAACTCAATTTTGCTGTGAAACTTATATAAAAAATAAAATTAAAAAAAGCAAAGCTATACAAATATGCAAAAAAAGTTATCTGAAGATTGACTCAAACACTTTTATTTTTTTTATAAGTTTTTATTGTTCATATTATTACAAATGTTCCTTTTTTCCCCCCCCACCATGCTCTACTCCACCAGATTCCCACCCCGCCCCTCGCCCCCTCCCCACTCCCCACTGTCCCCATCCATAGGTGCACAGTCCATGTTCAGTCTCTTCCCACATCCTCCCCTCCCCTTTTCCCCAAGAATCATCAGTTCACTCCCCTTCTATACCTCTGACTCTATTATATTCAACCGTTAATATTGTTCATCAGATTTTTTTTTTAATTTCCTTGGTTTTTTGATTTGCTTGTTGATAGTTACGTATTTGTTGTTCATAATTTTTATCTTTATTTACTTTCTCTTCTGAAAGAACCCCCTTCAGCAATTCATATAATTCTGGTTTGGTGGTGATGAACTCCTTTAGCTTTTTTTTATTAGTGAAGCTCTTTATCTGACCTTCGATTCTGAGTGATAGCTTTGCTGGATAGATTATCTTTGGCTGTAGGTTCTTACTATTCATCACCTTGAATATTTCTTGCCATTCCCATCTGGCTTGCATGGTTTCTGTTGAGAAGTCAGCTGACAATCGTATAGGTGCTCCTTTATAGGTAACTCCCTTCTTTGCTCTTGCTGCTTTTAATATTCTTTGTCTTTTGCTCTTGGAATTTTAATTATGATGTGTCTTGGTGTGGTCCTCTTTGGATTTCTTTTGTTTGGAGTTCTGTGCGCTTCCTGGACTTGTAAGTCTAATTCTTTCACCAGGTGGGGGAAGTTTTCTGTCACTATTTCTTTCAGTATGTTTTCAATATCTTGCTCTTTCTCATCTTCCGGGACCCCCATAATTCTGATGTTGGTTCTCTTGAAGTTGTCCCAGAGGTTTCTTACATTATCTTCAATTTTCTGGATTCTCTTGCCTTCTAGCTTCTGTGGAGAGGTATCTTCTGGCTCTTTATGCTCCAAATCTTTGACTTGATTCTTGCGATCTTCCATTCTGTTTTTAGGACTCTGTATAATATTTTTTATTTCAGACAATGTATTCTTTATTTGTTCATTCCTTATTAATTCTAGTTGATCTCTTTTCATATCCTCATATGTCTTATTCATCTTTTCTAGGAAATTCTTGAAAAACTTTATAAGCGTAGATTTGAACTCTATATCCAGTCGCTTTTTGTCCTCCATTTCTTTCGTTTGTCACTTTTAGATGTTATATGTTATACTCTGAATAAGAACTGGAGAGTTTTTTTTTGTTTGATTTGTTTTTAATATATTTTATTGATTTTTTTACAGAGAGGAAGGGAAAGAGATAAAGAACTAGAAACGTTGATAAGAGAGAAACATCGACCAGCTGCCTCTTGCACACCCCCTACTGGGGATGTGCCCGAAATCAATGTACATGCCCTTGACCGGAATCGAACCTGGGACTTTTCAGTCTGCAGACCAACGCTCTACCACTGAGCCAAACAGGCTTCAGCAGAACTGGAGAGTTTTTGACAACTAGGTAGCTTTTGTGATAAATTTTCTGAGTTTAGATTAACTTACTGTTGCTTTATATTTCTGATAACACTAAAAATAACTTACAGTGGCAAGATATATTAACAGATAAAATTAGATATATCTCCTATCATTATGTGAGGATTAATTTTCCTCAGATATTGGCTATATAAGACAAGTAAAAGGAATTTTAATGACCATTAAAATTGTTAATTGACCATTAAAATTGCTAAGAAAATGTTAATTTTAACTATAGATGAAATCTGAAAAATATGAAAAAGTTTAAAAGTAAAAAGGATTGGGTGCTCGCTTCGGCAGTACATATACTAAAAAAGTAAAAAGGATTGGTATACAGTGGCAGTTTAAAAGAAGTATTTTTAAAACATTTGGGAGTTATTTTATAAAAGGAATGCTAGATAAATATATAAGCCTAAAAAATTAATTTAAGCAAAGAAAAGCAAACAATTAACATTAAGAATATGTTTTTAATAGGAATATAATGAGTAACATAAACTGATGAACAAAAATAGATCCAGAGATATAGAAAGACCAAACAGACTGTCAAACCTCAGAACGAAGGTAGGGAAGGTAGGCGGGGGGTAAGAGATCAACCAAAAGATTATATGCTGCATGTAACCATAACCAATGGACACACACAATAGGGGATGAGGGCCTGTATTGAGGGTGGGAGAAGGCTGGCATAGGTCTGGAGGGGGAGGGTGGAAAGGAGACATATGTAATATTTTCAACAATAAAGACTTTTTAAAAAAGTATATGCTTAATAATAAAGACAAGCTAAAGACTCAATGAATAAAAATCAAAATTTTATTGGGTATGGAAATTTTATAAAATGGAAAATGAATGTTATAAATTTCCTTCCTATTGTATTGAAGACTACGATTCACACTGAGTTTGCTAATAAATCATCTGAAGAAAATACCTTGAATGATTGATCCAAATGAAGATTCAAAAGAAGTCTTCTTCGGTTATCATTCAGCATGCTATCTATTTTTTTCATATGAGGCAAAAGTAGCTCATCTAAAACAAGATAAAAATTTATTGTAACAGGATAAACTATCAAGACAAAAACTTGTTAAAATCCAACTTTTATCAAATCATTAATATATCAATGATTTATTAATTAAATTAACTGGCTTATATAAAGTAAAGCTTTTGGAAATTAGGACATGAAGTTTTCTGAACAAAAACTAACTTGAAAAATAAATAGCTAAGTGAGAAAAAAGCATGAGCCTAGAATGAAAGGATTAAAAGTTCTAGGTTTTACCCTTTTCTGTCACCAGAATTGATAGCAGTGATTTGACAAGTAGGCAAGCTATTTGATTTCTCCAGACCTCATTTACCATCTGAACAATAATGGTATTATAATTATTGGAAATTTATTTAACATTTTAGACCCTGCACCAGTGGGGTTCCTCAGTCCGGCCTGCAGGATCAGGCAGAAACCGGCTCTCTTCATCCTGAGGGGTCCTGGATTCGAGAGAGCACAGGTCATGTGATGGACCCACTGGTGCATGATCAGGGCTGGGAACGAACGTGGAAGGTTGGCCAGCTGCGGAAGGGACTGTGGGAGGGCTCTGGGCATGTCTGGCTGGTCTTGCTCAATCCCAATCTGCTGGACCCCAGTAGCAAGCTAACCTACCAGCTGGAGCGTCTGCCCCCTGGTGCTCAGTGCACATCAGAACAGTTGATCGGCCTTAGCATATCATTAGCATATTATGCTTTGATTGGTTGAATGGCCAATTGACCAGTTGCTTAGCATATTGGGCTTTTATTATAGAGGATTTAAAATTTTCTAAAATACTGAGAATGATATACTTAATTCACTGTAGTTTGGGGCAAAAGGAAAAGTAGGGAAAAGGCCCTTTCTTGATTGTTTGGAGTGTCATCCTGTATACCAGAGGGTTATGGGTTCAATCCCCAATTAGAGCATGTGCAAGAGGCAATCCATCAATGTCTCTCTCTCTCTCTCCCTTCACCACCCAATTAATCAATAAAAAAAATAATGTCCTCAAGTGAGGATTAAAATAATTAGTTAACTTAAAAAAAGGGTAAGAAAAATGGAAATCCAGTTTTAAAAACACAACAGTCAACATAGTTATTTTTAAAAAGGAGAGAGTAAAAACATAACAAGGATTCCTACCCAAAACTTTTTCTTCACCCCTCTGAAATGTTAAGGTCTTTTAAGAAAAGCACTTTCAGAATATAGGTTTAATTACTTTTGGTGTTGTATTAAATATTTTAGGATATTAGATTATTTCTTTTTCTTTCTTTGTTATTTTCTTCCTTTTTATAAACCTTATCTGAAGATGTGTTTTTATTGATTTTTTTTAGAGAGAGGAAGGGAGAGGGAGAAACATCAATATGAGAGAGAAACATCGATCAGATGCCTCCTTTACGGCCCCAACTGGGGATCGAACCTGCAATCTTTAAGTGTACAGGATAATGCTCCAGCCAAATAAGTCACTGAGACAGGGCTAGATGATGATGTTTTGTAATCTTTAATGACCTTTCTGAAAATGTATATATAATCCTCAGGATCTAGTTTCTAATTTCAGAGATGAATAAAACTATTCTTTATATATTTAAAATACAAACATAAGCACAGTGACCAGTGAAAGAACACTTCCTCTAATTAAAGAAAAGTCCTTGATGAGGAACACTTTTTAAGGTAACACTATAACACACCTGATTTTTTCTAGTAGTGATTAATTCTATTCAAATATCATAAAAATTACATTAAACAAAAACAAGTTTTACATATTTGTGAATAATTTTAGAATACAACCATTAAAACCTTTCCTCCTCATATTAAATGGAAAAAAATAAGAAAATAAGCAATATTAAAAAATCATTTAAAATACAACTGTTGAGAAATGACCACTGCTAAGAGATGTGTATTTTTTATGATGCAAGAAGTTTGAGAGATAAAAACATTTAATGGCAAAAATACCAACCCAGAAATTAACTATTTTTTTTTTTGTTAGTCCTCTCTCATGGATATTTTTCCATTGATTTTTAGAATAGAAGGAGAGGGGGAGGAAAAAGAGAAACATCTATGTGAGAGAGACATATTGATTGGTTGCCTCCCTCAGGGATTGAGCCTGCAACCAAAGTACATGACCTTGACCACAATGGAACCCAGGACCCTTCAGTCCGTGAGCTGACAGTTTATCCACTGAGCCAATCCAGCTAGGGCAACTCTGGGGTTTTAATCATGATTCATCTACCACTAACTTGTTAACTTTAGGAAATACATTTAAATTTTTTGAACCTTAGTCTACCAAATATTTTTGACTAAACAACCTCTGACTCTAAAATGATGTACGGATTATTATATCAGATGGTCAAAAAAGCAATGGACCAGAAATGAGAAGACCTTTGATTTTAATCCAGTGGTCAGCAAAACTCGGCTTGAGAGCCACATATGGCTCTTTGGCCCCTTGAGTGTGGCTCAATATTAGAACCACTTCTTCAAAATAGACTCGCCCAGGCTGAAAACCGACTTCTGTGCATGGGACACAAAGTTTCAATTGCACTGTACGTGTGTGCCCGCACGTGGTATTTTGTGAAAGAGCCACACTCAAGAGGCCAAAGAGCCGCATGTGGCTCTCAAGGCTCGATTTGCCAATCACTGTTTTAATCCTTTGTTACTTACAAGTTGTAGGCCCTTAGGCAAGTCACTTAACCTGAGCCTCTCTGTCTTTATCCACCAAAATGAATGTCCAAGTTCTGGGATTGAAATGGAATAGCATGGCAAAGTATGTGGAAATTATAAAACAATATGTACTATTAGGCGTTAGTGTTGAAATATCTTATTACTTTTTAATCTTATACCGTTCAGTTAATTTTGATATAAGGGTAATGAAAACTAGTTCATTAATCCTTTCATTCCTTCTTAGAAAAAAAAAAAAAAGTATTGATTTCAGAGAGAGGAAGGGAGAAGGAGAGAGAGATAGAAACATCAATGATGAGAGAGAATCTCTGACTGCTTCTGCACACCCCACACTGGAGATTGAGCCCACAACCCGGGCATGTGCCCTGACTGGGAATCGAACCATGACCTCCTGGTTGCTGGGTTGATGCTCAATCACTGAGACACACCAGCAGGGCTCATTCCTTCTTTTAGTTGTCCCTATTAAAACTAAAGTAGCTGAAGGCTAAATATCAGTGAGCAACATTAGCTATGTGAATTACAAGTTTATTTCATATATAAATTTTATCCCTATTATAATAAAAAATTACTAAAGGAAAAGTATAAAGAAATATTAATGTAATTCAATGTATATATAGTTTTATTACTAATAGATTAGAAAATAATTACTCTGATGTATCTTTTATTGGACATAGTATACAGTTTTAATATCATTATCTGATTCATCTTTCCAATTATTTTTGGTATTTGGATCTTTCATGATACACACAAAATATTATGAGGATGACAAAGATTCTACAGTTGAAAGAAACTATTGGTTAGTTACATAATTTTACCATGAGTAGAAATCAATAAAAGTGCATCCAATATAAAGTTCAAATATTCAAAGATATTACCATTTTATAGAATAAATACATATCATGGATTTTTAATTAATCAATAATTATTATTTTAAAAATTTTCTTTATTGTTGAAAGTATTACAGATGTCCTCCCCCTTTCTTTCTCATTGACCTCCTCTCACCCTGTACCTGCCCCTCCCAGGCCTTCACCATACTATTGTCTGTGTCTATGGGCTACGCGTCATATATCATTGATTTGTTAAAAGACAAAGTATAGGTATGTTACAAAAACCATATATTAAACACATACTAAAAGACAAGAATAAAATAGATCCATAAAGTACTACCAAAAAAGTACTAGTTAGCAGACTGTACCATTGCTCTTCTCTAAGGCTTGCATTGTGTCGGGGTCCAAAGCAATGCTAACAAGCAATTCCATGTAACTCTTAAAGGTTTCCTTCATTGCTCTTGTGTTCAAAAAACGAGTGACAAAGGGAGCTGGAGGATCAAATTCTGGGAGGGAGAAAAGATGAAACATTAAATATTCTTTCCTGACAACTTTAAAAAAACAGGTTTCTCTGTAACAAGACTGTACGAAGGGATGAAAGGTTGTAGATAAAATTTCTCAAATTAAAATGGTTCTCCCACTCTGCCTTTAAAAAAACCCAGGTGAGAGAATTTGAGAGCTGGTTTACACCTCAATCATTGGAAAGCTTTTATTTTTTTATTTTTTTAATATATTTTATTGATTTTGTACAGAGAGGAAGGGAGAGAGATAGAGAGTTAGAAACATCGATGAGAGAGAGTCATCGATCAGCTGCCTCTTACACACCCCCTACTGGGGATATGCCCGCAACTGAGGTACATGCCCTTGACCGGAATCAAACCCGGGACCCTTCAGTCCCCAAGCCGACGCTCTATCCATTGAGCCAAACGGTCTTGGCCATTGGAAAGCTTTTAAAGCAAAACAAACCCCCCAGATTGCTAGACTCATTAAAACATACTTTTGACAAGGGATGGAAGTTGCACTGAAGCTTAATTATACTTTATAAAAGGTTCCTAGGTGACTCTGAAGCCCAACACCGGTCCAGGATCATCAGAATCTATTTCTTCTCCCTGGGCCCTACCACAGACAAGAAAGTACTTATAAAACACTTCTGCTATGGAGTGTGATGGTTATCTCCAGGAAGATCATCTACATAACTGTTTGAGTCATAAAATAAACTAGACACTTTTTCCCTCTGGGACACCATTATTAAAAGAGAAGAGTGTGTTGATTTTTAGAGAGAATGGAAGGGGAGGGGGGAGGAGAGAAACATCAATGTGTGAGTACAACATTAATTGGCTGCCTCCTGCATGACTCCTACTGGGGAGAGAGCCCATAATCCTGACATATGCTCTGATCAGGAATAGCACCAGCAACCTCTTGGTGCACGGGATGACACCCAACCAACTGAGCCACACCAGCCAAAGTGGGACACCATTTTTTATCTAAAAGAATGACAGACACAGCATGCCTGTTTAGACTTGAGTATGTAGCAGACATTTTCTTAAAAATGGATGCGGTGACCTAAGTCAGTTTGCCTCAGTGGATAGAGCTTTAGCCTGCAGACTCGATTCTGGTCAAGGGCATGTTACCTTGGTTGCAGGCGGCAACCAATTGATTTGTCTCTCTCACATCGGTGTTTCTCTCTGTCTCTTCCTCTTCCTCCCACTCTCTCTAAAAATCAATGGAAAAACATCCTGAGTGAGGATTAAAAAAAAATGTAATGAGCCGAAACCGGCTTGGCTCAGTGGTAGAGCGTCAGTCTGTGGACTGAAGGGTCCCGGGTTCGATTCCGATCAAGGGCATGTATGTTGGTTGCGGGCACATCCCCAGTGGGGGGTGTGGAGGAAGCAGCTGATCGATGTTTCTCTCTCATCGACGTTTCTGGCTCTCTATCTCTCTCCCTTCCTCTCTGTAAAAAATCAATGATATTATATATTAAAAAAAAATGTAATGAAGTGAATCTATATCACTAAAAGAAAAACAACTAATGGTATTTATTACCAATAATAAAATTTGAGGTTTCAAGTAAAAATTAGAATGCTGGGAAAATTATATCTATCACTGTCCCAATACTTAAAGATTTCATCAATGAGAACAGAGGTGATATTAATAAATGCTGTTTTTGATACTATAAAAATATGACATAATGTAAGAGGTAAAACCATAAAACTGTTAAGAAAATATAGGAATATTCATGATCTGGGATTTGGTAATAGATTCTAAATATAACACTGAAAGCAGGAGCAATTAAAAAAAATAACTTCATTCATTACAATTTTTTTTTAAAAATATTTCTTATAAGTACCGCGCGCTAACCGATTGCGCTACTGGATAATATTTCTTTTTTTATTTCGGAGAGGAAGAGTGAAGGAGAGAAACATCAGTAATGTGAGAGAATCACTGGTCAACCTCCTCCTGCATGTCCCCCACTGGGGACAGAGCCTGCAACCCAGGCATGTGCCCTTGACTGGAATTGAACCTGGGACCCTTCAGTCCGCAGGCCAACTTCATTAGAATTTCAAACTTTGGTGCATTAAAGGACATTATTTAAAAAGTGAAATGTTGCCTTATCCAGTTTGGCTCAGTGGATAGTGTTGGCCTGAGGACCGAAGGGTCCCAGGCTTGATCTGGTCAAGGGCACATGCCTGGGTTTCAGGCTGGATACAGCATACTGAGGCAGCCAATCAATGATTCCCTCTTATCATTGATGTTTCTCTCTTCCTCTCTGAAATCAGTAATAATAATAATTAAAAAAGTGAAATGTAAACCTACAAATTGGAAGAAAATGTTTTTAAATCATATATCTGATAAATGTTAAATATCTACATAAAACATCCACAATTCAAAAACAAAAGGAAAAATGACCCAATTTGAAAATGTTCAAAGGATCTGAATAGACATTTTTGCATAGATAAGCAAATGGCAAGTACATAAAAAGATGCTAACCACCATTAGAAGTTAGGAAAATAGAAATCAAAACCACAGTGAGGTACCACTATAAATAACAATTGTTGGTAAGGATGTGAAGAAATTGGAACCCCCCTCCCCCCAATGCATTGCTGGTAGGAATGTAAAATGGGGCAGTCATAGTGAAAAACAGCTTGGCGATTTCTCAAAAAACTAAACATACAATTGTCACATGACCCAGCAATTCCACTCCTAGGTATATACCCCAAAGAATGGAAAACAAGGTCACAAACAGATATTTGTATGCCAGTGTTCATGCAGAGAGGGAAGCAATCCAAGTGTCTATCAAAAGATTAAAAAAATAGAAAAAAAAAGAATGTAAAAAAAAAAGATTAAAAAAATAAACAAAATGTATATACAGTAGATAAACTTACAATGAGATAGTATTGGACCATAAAAAGGAATGAAGTTCCAATACATGCTATAATATGGATGAACCTTGAACACATTATGCTAAATGAATAAGCCAGATACACTTATAAGGCCCCCGTAGGCTAAACATGAGAGATTTGGTCCACCGATTCTGAAAGAAATGGAGTCACAAGAAATTCACCAGGAAATTCAGGAATTGGATTGTTATGATGATGTTCCAGAAGATAATGACATGATTGTCATTGAATAAATGAGTAAATTCTTGATACTGTAGGATTCACAGTTTGTCTGGCTTGTGTTGACAACTACCGTCCTACCGTACCGTATACAGGTAATAAATTTCCTTTATTTTCATTTAACAATAAATGTGTACCGTATTCTTCTTCATGGAATAAGGCATCCCCTGAAAATAAGACCTAGCACATCTTTGGGAGCAAAAATTAATATAAGAGACTGTCTTATTTTCAGGGAAACAGGGTAGTTACAAAGCATCTGTTTGGGGTGATGCAAGTTTTGGAAATAGTTGTGATAGTTGCATAATAATGTGAATATAATTAATGCTACTGATTTGTATACTTAAAAATTGTTAAAATGGCAAGTTTTGTTCTACTTTACCACAACTTTTTAAAATATGATGAGCCTAAACCGGTTTGGCTCAATGGATAGAGCGTCGGGGCTTGTTCTCATCGATGTTTCTAGCTCTCTATATCTCTCCCTTCCTCTCTGTACAAAATCAATAAAATATATTTAAAAAAATAAAATAAAATAAAATATGATGAAAATGAAATAGAATATGTACATCAGTGAGCAAATAAGTATCTTCACATGACCAATTAGTTTTAAAATCATTCATGGATGAAAGATACATTAAAAAATAAGATGAACCAATAGATCTTAATGTAACAGGAATGAAAAGTTAAAGAAACTACTACTTCTCAAGTTTATCAAATAAAAAATTTCCTTGAGTAACAAATAAAAATATACATAATTATCTGAAAAGGTAGTTAAAATACTCCTCCCTGTTCCAACTACTTATCTATGTAAGGCTGAGTTATCTTCATATACTTTAGCCAATATAATCCTATATAATAAAGAGGTAATATGCAAATGGTCATTAGGCAGAGACATGTAACAGGAGATCACCGGAGGGCGGGATAACAAGCTGTGAGCGGGGAGAGCTCCAGCTGGGCGGGCAGGGAGCTCTGTGCGGCGGAGAGCTCCAGCAGCAGAGCTACAGCGGTGGGCAGGGTGGCCAGCTACCCGTGTGCAGGGCCACTAGTATATAACAGACAATGTAGAAGCAAATATGAAAATGCTCCTCTTCTAAATATTGTTAACTTAGGAAAATACAGTTGTAAAAAAACAAGTTAATATCTAATCGGTTTATTTTAAAGAAATATTTTTAAAAATTTGTTTTAACTGATATTTGGTAAATATAAAGCCCAAGTATTTTGGAATCCTCGCCATATCTAAAGATTATTAAAAAGCTTTGAAATAAATAGGTTGGAAACAGTTTGTCTGTAAATTTACATTTATTAATATTTGCCTTCTTGCCTTGGCCAATTTGACTCAGTGTTTAAGAGTGTTGCCTCACAGACTGAAGGGACTTGAATTGTCAGTCAAGGGCATGTACCAGGGTTGCCGGTTCCGCAGGCTTGATCCTTGGTTGGGGCGAGAGGCAACCAATAGATGTGTCTCTCTCAATCAACGTTTCTCTCTCTGTCTCTCCCCCTCCCTTACAACTTCTCTTTAAAAAAATAATAAATAAATAAGTCAATGGAAAAATTTTCTCAGATGAGAACTACATATATTTGCCTTCTTTTTAAGTAGTATTAAAAATGTTTGCTTAACGTTAAGTGACACCTAGTGGTTACTCAATGAAAGAAAAATTTTGTTAGGATTGTCTTTTGGCAAATTTAGTGTATGCTCAGAACCCAATCCTCTGTATTCTAAAAAGTAAGTAGGCCTGGTGAGTGTTGCTAAGTGGTTAGTGTTTCAGATCACCAGCCCAGCCGGGAGTGTGCAGGAGGCAACCAATCAATGTATTCTCTATCATATCAATGTTTCTTTCTTTCTCCACCTTCCTCTCTCTCCCTTTCCATCCCTCTTAAAATAAATAAATAAA